CGGGCAGTGGTGCCCAATATTATGATGGCGATAAAGTAACGGCCGAGAGCCAAGGATACCACAAGCAAGCCTCCACGAAAGAGAGAAAAACACAGACAACACAGACTGCAAATACTCAAAAAGAAAAAGAGAAAGGGAAAAAAAGGAAAAAAGGAGAAGAAGAAAGCACAGTTGAGTCACAGTTGTCACGACTCCAAGTCCAAGCCTAGATGCTGGCTAGCCATAAAAATAAACCTTTAAAAGTCTCTTGAATGATCTGTGGCAGGCGAGGGACTTGAACTCTTGGGGCAGGGCGTTCCATAATCTAACAGCGGAAACGAGCGGCCGACAGTCACCAGAGACTCGCCTGGTGGCAGGGACAACATACGCATTTGGATCGTTGATCCGAGTAACGCCTTCAGTCTGGCGACGTAGGCGCTTGGACCGAAGATTACTAATACTGGCGGTGTGGATGCGAAGCATGAGGAGGCGGAGTTTACAGTGGGCGTTTTGGATGATGGGGATGAGGCCTAGACGGGTGTAGATGGGATCTGTGTGGGAGGGGAATGGCTGGTTGGCAACGCAGCGGATACATCGCTTGTCGAGGACCGAAAGCTGATGCCGTTGGTGCGCAGAGAGAACCGAGAAGAAGGCATTAGATCCATATAACCTATCCGGTAGTATTAACGATCTGTAAAATAGCAGGGCTTGTTGCTCAGTTAAGCAGGAGCGAATGGCTCGCAGCGCCGTCAGTTTCTGGGAGGTCTTCCGTGTAATAGTTGCAACTTGAGTCTCCCACCGAAGCTGGGAGTCGGGATGTAGACCAAGATATCGAGCATTTGTGGTCTGAGCTAGGGGATTTCCATTGCATTCTATGTTAAGTAACAAGGGCTGCCTGCGAGACGCATGAAGGGCCAGAACGTGGGTTTTGGAGGGATTTAGTATTAAGCCTCTTTCTTCCAGAAAGTTGGCCAGGCTGGAGACCGAACGGGAGAGGGTTAAATTCAAGAATTCGACAGATTGACTGATGGCGTCTAGCAGGATATCATCAGCAAACAGTTGTCCTTTTAAAAAGCATTTTTTAATTCATTGGCCATGTCTGCATCAATTATAATTATTTTTTATTGCACGTATAAAGGTGTGATTAGTGTTTTGACATGATACAGAAGGCTGTCACCTACTTGTAATTTTTTCTTATGTTTCTTCAGAATTAAAATGCCTCGTGCCTGCAATCCAGCTACACTCACGCTCGTAAATGCGCATCTTATAGCTATGAATAAATTACGGAACGACTGCTCTGATAAGTTACTACCATACAGTCCTATTATTCAAAGGATCAGTAAGGGAAGTGAACTGCCTGAAAAGAGAAAAAATAGAAGAGCCGGCCACCGGGACACGACAACCCGGACCTTGCTTGTCATGAGCAATGCCCTAACCATCTGAGCAATGGGACCAGGCTGAACCGAGAAGGTTAGGTTCGGCCAGGTCCCATTGCTCATGACAAGCAAGGTCCCAGGTTCGAGTCCTGGTGAGTCTGGCATTTTTTCCTCCTTTCAGGCAATTCACTTTCCTGACTGATGCTTTGAATTATTTGAAGTTCTCCCAATCCTATAAAATTGAGTCCTAAAATACCGTATTTTACGACCCCTGCAGTCTCGGTTGTCTTTTAATGTGTGTCATGTAGATGTACATGTACATGTACCTTCCTTGTGAGTGTAGCGGACAGTATCAGGGTTAGGGGTACATCAGCATGGACGTAAAAGCCAGCAACAGCACACACATACGTTGCACTGGATCGAAGAGTGAGCGACTCCCTTCTGCATGTACACGTACATTGTACATGCAGAACTTTTACACAATTTGTCAGGCGCAAACAGTGACCATCCGCGTTTGGCAGAGCCCCGTTCTTCACGACCATCTGAACCGTATGGGTGCTAGACCCGGTTTATTCTAGGGAGTTGTCTTAGTTTTTTCTTGTTGTTGTACCGTCAGTCGTGTAAACGGTGTCCGCGCCTGAAAGTTATCTTGATACTGCAGGTAGGG